TTTGTGCACCAGGCCTCTAGTCTAGAATAAAGAGTGCACTACTCAGCCACAATTTCGGCTAACTGTGGCCCTGGGACTAGTTCTGATCAAACAGATGTAAGATCATCCAACTTCCAGAAGTGTCCTCAGAGGGAGAGAGAGAGCACGTGCCATTCTCCTCTCTTCTCTCCTGCCTGGAATGTGGCTGGAGTGGGGCAGACATCTTAAAACATGATAGAATCCACATGTTGAGGATAACAAAATAGAAGCAGCTGAGATCCTAAAAGATTTTCTCGTAAGTAGGTGTTAAATTTGCTTCGAGTGCTTTCTCTGCATTGTGATTTTTTTTTCTTTTATACTCCATTAATCTAGTCTTCTGCTCTCCCTAAGTCTATTTTATTAATAAATGTGTTCTGGCCCTGGCCGGTTTGGCTCAGTGGATAGAGCGTTGGCCTGCAGACTGAAGGGTCCCAGGTTTGATTCCAGTTGGTCGGGGGCACATGCCTGGGTTGCGGGCTTGATCCCCAGTAAGGGGGCGTGCAGGAGGCAGCCGATCAGTGATTCTCATCATTGATGTTTCTCTTTCTCCCTCTCCCTTCCACTCTGAAATCAATAAAAATGTATTCAAATAAATAAATGTTTTCTGATGTTAAACCATCTTTGAATTCTTGGCATATATGCTACTTGAACATATCTCTGTTAATACACCATTTGACTGGGTTAGCTAATGTTTTACTTAGGGATTTTACACTTCTAGTGATTGTAGTAAAGAATTCTTTATTTGAGCCTTAGCCAGTTTGGCTCAGTGGATAGAGCATTGTCCTGCAGACTGAAGAGTCCTGGGTTCCATTCCTGTCAAGGGCACATGCCCGGGTTGTGGACTCAATCCCCAGTTGGGGGCCTGGGGACATGCTGGAGGCAGCCAATCAATGATTCTCATCATTGATGTTTCTATTTCTCTCTCCCTCTCCCTTTCTCTCAGAAATCAATAATAAAAATATAGCCCTAACCGGTTTGGCTCAGTGGATAGTGCGTCAGCCTGCAGACTCAAGGGTCCCAGGTTCGATTCCAGTCAAGGGCATGTACCTTGGTTGCGGGCACATCCCCAGTAGTGGGTATGCAGGAGGCAGCTGATGTTTCTCTCTCATTGATGTTTCTAACTCTCTATCCCTCTCCCTTCCTCTCTGTAAAAAATCAATAAAATATATATTTTTTAAATAATAATAAAAATATATTTTTTTTAAAAATTCTCTATCTGAAATTAGTTAAAACTTGCTTTATGTGCCCTAACCGTTTGTCTCAGTGGATAGAGCGTTGGCCTGCGGACTGAAGGGTCCCAGGTTCAATTCCGGTCAAGGGCATGTACCTTGGTTGCGGGCACATCCCCAGTAGTGGGTATGCAGGAGGCAGCTGATCAATGTTTCTCTCTCGATGTTTCTAACTCTCTATCCCTCTCCCTTCCTCTCTGTAAAAAAATCAATAAAATATATATTTAAAAAAACTTGCTTTATGTAATTTGCTCACATTTTTTTAAATGTCCCAGTGTACTTGAAAAGAATGAGTATTTCGCAGGTAATGAGTACAGTGTACTAAATGTGTCTATTGCATTGTAATACTACAACCTGAAGTTCAAAACATGTGTCCTTAGAGATTTTTGTTTGTCTGCTTGATCTGGCAATTGCTAGAGAGATGTATTACAATCTCCTACTATAAATACACATTTGTCCATGTGTTCTTGTACTTCCAAAACTTTTGTTTCAAATATTTCGTGGTCCTCTTATCCCATGCACATATATTTAATACCAGTATCTTCCTGTCAAAGTAAACCTCTTATCACTAGAAAGTGACTCTTTATTTCTAATAGCACTTTCTTATAAATTATACTTTGTATGATCATTACTTTGGTTAGAACTTGCCTGGCAGATCTTTTGCCTTCAACTTCTTTTGCTTTCAACTTCTCTGTTTTAGATGTGCCTCTGGGGCACACGGTTGGACTTTATTCTTTATTCTGTCTGGAAGTCTTTTCCCTTTAACAAGATAAGTTAGTCTTTTGCATTTTTTTTTTAGTTTTCCTTTGACTTTTTTTTAAATTTCGTTTTATTGCTTAAAGTATTACAGAGAGTATTACATATGTCTCCTTCCCCTCCCCCCGCTTGA